TGCTTCAGGAAGCGGTCACCAGCCCTGAAATACCACTTAGGTGTAAATTAGTGACCACAGCTATGAATATCCATGCCCTTCTGCCAGGAACCCAAACAAAGCAGAAAGCTGTAGGTTGGCCTTGACCGTAAGCAGAGGCTAACGCCTCCGATGAGACAGGTTCGTCAGAAAGCACCCAGGAAACTCCGTTCTAGCAAACACTTCTATCTGAAGCCTCCCTGACGGGGTCACAAGGAACCCTTCTAGGCCTTCCACCGTTGAGGTCCGCCGGTGTGAACACTGAGGACGGGTCTGTGCCCCTAACGCTGGCCTCCAGCTCCAGACCGGGGTGGGGTGGGGGAAGGGGGGGGAGCGTGTCACGGAGAAGGTGGCCGAGTGCTGGGCCCAGGGACCCATGGTCAGGTTACGCTCAGCCAGTAACCATCAGAATCACATGAGCAGGTCAACCAGAGGACAAGTGAAAGGTGGCCCTGGTTGCTGAGGCTACTGCGTGTGGGACTCGGAGAAAGCCACTGTAACACCCCGTGAAGAAAAAGACAAGCTGTTTGAAGGGCGGCCGCTGGTGCCCCGGCGCCCTGGTGGGAGGGAACGGAGGTTTACGCAATTGCATGTGGCGGGAGGAAGGCTCGCCGCCTGTAGCTGAATGGGGAGCCTGTTTGCAAATACGGCTTTGAAGATCAGGCCACAGGACATTCCTGGAGAAGACACTGAGTAGCCCCGTCCAAAGTGTGTCAGAGCAATTCCAGTGCAGTTGCGTGTGAGAAGGTGCGATGTGTTCCACTTGAGCAATAACCTAGAGACTCCTCCTTCCATGAAGTGGTGAGCACCGAGCAGGGCGCAGCCAGCCAGGGACACGCCCAGCTCTGCAAGGGTATATAACATGGAGTCCAGACCATGGCCTTGAACTCAGACTCCACTCGCTGTCACACCTCTGAACGCAGCCTCCGCCAGCATGTCCCCCAGCCGCTGCTCTGGAAACTTCTCCTCCCGCTCCCTGGGCGGCTCCCTGCGCTGCCAGGACTCCTCCTGCGGCTCCTCCCACCCCAGCAACCTGGTCCCCAGCAGGGGCCTCTGCTCCTCCAGCCCCTGCCCTCAGGGCCCCTCTCTCCACAGTGGCTACCAGGTCACCTGCCGGGCACCCAGCAGCTGCCGGCCGTCCTGCTGCAGCCCGAGGGTCTCCCTGCTGGGCAGCCCCTGCCAGGCCCCTGTCCCTGGGGCTCTGGGCTGGGGGTCCAGCAGCAGCTGCTCCCTGGGCTGTGGGGCTGGTGGCCTCAGACCCCTGGGTCACAGAGTCTGTGGGGTCCCTGTGCTGAGCCCTGGATCCGGATCCTGCCGCCCGACCTGCGGGCCCTCCAGGACCTGCCAGGCTTCCTGTTACAGACCAGCCTGTGGGTCCAACTGCTACTGATCGTCTCACTACATTTCCAGTCCTGGTGCCCGCTGCTCTCCGTGTCTGTGCTCGCAGCCCCTTTGCCTGCATCACCTGCAGGAGGGGTCGCTCCCTCAGTCTCTGTATCAACAACGCTTCACCTCCCTCAGGCCCAACTGCGTCTAAAGCATTAATGTATCAGCTCTGCACTGGAGACGGGATGAGGGTGATGGGGTTTCTCCCCCAAATTGTATGAAATGTCAAATCATTACAATCTAATAAATCACTTGCTTCTGATAACCAGCCTTGTCTACTGGTGCACCTGTTTACCTACTGGGGTTTCGACTGTGATAGAAAACAGATATTATAAAAAGGTTAATATGCACATGGAAACAGGTTGTGAAATCCCAGAAAGTTGGGGATTTGAACTAATTTTGGAGAACCTCAGATATTTTTCTCACTCAAACCATAGGTAGTTGAAGACTCTTGTTTGAATATGTTCATTTTTGCGAATTAAAATCTCAAAATCAGGAGTTAGAATGATTCTCTCATAAGCTGTGGGTCCCCTGTGCCTGCCAAGAGGCACAGTGGCCGGCTAGGTGGCAGTGATGTAAGCAATGCAGGGGACAAGGGTGCTGCTCGATTTGAAGGGTTAGGGCAACACATGAAGGGTAATTGAGTTCAGAGCACCTGAGCCTTCCCACAGGTGGGTGTGGTGTGAGTGTGGACGCATAGGTAGGTTTACGAAGAGAGACAGAGTTATAAACATGGTTACAGAAGTGCAGCTGAATACACAGCCACGGATACAGATGAATACAAAGCTGGTCCAGGTATAGACATAGTCTATTCCCAAGAGAACTTTACCAGACTTCAAGAAGTTAAGAAGTGACTAAATCCCAAATATATTTCATTCAGCACAAACATACTCACAAGCGATTCAGTAGATGAAAGTATTAGATTTAGATGTTAAAGTAACGATAATTGATGTACTTGGAAAATAAAAGGATACATCTTTAGATACAGCTAGAGGCATAATTAGCAGTTGTTCACTAGAATATATTTAAAATAAAAAAATTTAAAATACTATAAAAATATTGAGCGGAGCTTCAGAGAATATGGAAAGGTCTAACGTGATTTCAGATGAAGCCCTAAAATGAGATTGTGTGTGTGTCTGTACACAGACATAGTGGTAGTCAGTGAAAATTTAACAACTGTTGACAAGTCAAGATGTTAATAAGTCCAAGAGGATCAGCACATATATAATCAACCAGGGAGATAGAAGAGCAACATCGCTTCATGAATTTAAGGACTGTCACAGACCCTGTGCGTGAAACCTGGGAAGGAAGGCCCGCCCCTCAGCACATAAAGTCCAACTGAGGAGCAAGAAAGGAAAACAATTTAAAGCAACCAGAGGGGGAAAACATGTTTTAAAAGGTAGTGATAATAAAGTACAGAATAATGATGGCTGTATTCTGAACAGAAAAAAAGAGAAGGTAGAAAAATGAACCATCCTCAGTTTCTGCAGAAAGGAGACATTAGCGTCCTTGGCCAGTGGTGTCTGTTTCAGAATGAAGGGCGGATGGGAAACATTTTAGACAATCAGATGCTGAATTTGTCACCAGCCTTCCAGCACAGAACATACAGTAAATGTCAAAAGCAAAAGGGTCCCAGAATATAGCAAGACGATGTGGGGAGGACCTAACAGTGAAGGAAAGAGGTATATAGTGGGTAAATTTAAGAAAATACTGCCCATGAAAACACAGGGACACACACATGTAAACATACTTAAGCATACATGAAATTAAAATACAGAAAGCCCTCAAGCTGAGCAGTACATGAATTAGGCTAAGTGAAGTGGCCTTATAATTTCTAGCATTCTCGAGTTCTGGAGGAAAGGGGGACAGTATTGATTATATCGGCGAGCCACGCTGTGACACATGCCGTCCGTCTAAGGAAGCACCGTCAAGCAGAACTTGGTGAGATGCTGAAAATACTCTGATCTTCACTTTGCAGAATGTGGTATCCACTAGCCACAAGTATCTGCTTTTGCACTTGAAAGGTGGCAAATGTGACCGAGGAACTGAATTCCACCTTAATTAACTAACGAGCCTTGAGCTGGGCAGGCGTGGGCAATGGCCAGTCTCCCGAAGGGTGCGGCCCCAGCATCATCGCCTCTGAACGAATAACGCCATGACCAGGACCATCCTGCAAGGCCGACGCATCCGTTGCTGGGAAACAGCTAAGGAACTTCTTATCCCGAAGCCAACTTTGAGATCAGTGAGGCAGGGCTGGCGTTTCTGGTTTGCTTCTTTTGCCTGATATATCCTTTTTTTTTCACTTTTCTGTTTTCTGATATTTAAGAAAACCTACTTTATGTAAAAAAAAAATAGTGTCTTTAGCACAGTGTGAAATTCCCTGGAATTTTCCCTATGAAATTTGATACGCCCAGATTTCTACCTAATATTTACTACTTTGTTGCCGTTTGATTCATCATCTGTGTTCCTGCTTCTGTCGTGCTTAGGCAGGGGCACTAAAAGAGCTTAGTGCTATAAAACTACCCCTTTAATTCGGTGTTTTCTGAGGCTTTAATTTTCAAGCCCTCAGTGTGAGTGTTACTCCCCTGCACACACAGGCCCACACACCAGGGTGGCTGCGCTGTGCACTGTGAGCCCTGAGACCCGAGTCACCTGTGCCCGTCCATTTCCCCTCCCGCCGTTCCAAGTCACCCTGGAGATTCCCGCCTTTCTGACCGGGAGCAGAGGATTCGCTTTAGCTCAGGTTTGCCGAAATAGAGAGCTCTGTGAAAAGATACTTAGATATTTTACAGTGGAAAAATAATCTTAACGAAGCACAGTGTGTTTTACAACGAAGGAGAAAATTCTGTGAAAGGACCTGAAAATAAAAATGTCCAGAAGGTCCCGTGTGCCGGGCTGGTCTATAGAGAGGGGACCCCAGACAGACAGGGAATGGAAGTGAGGAAGCGGACAGGGCCCCACAGAAAGCCTGAGCTCTATTGAAATGAACTTTTCCTTTAAGTCGCACAGACGGAAAGCCCTTGAAGTCACCAGTTATCTGCTTCCAGCTCGGACCCGCCCCGTTTCTTACTCAATTTATCTGTTTCCTCTTCCCAATGAATTTCAGAAGCGATACATTATGTAATGAAATATGTGGAAAAGAACTCCTGGGAATGAAGTAAATTTGGGGAAGGAAATCGTGTTTGACAAGCACGGTGTCTGCATTCTGCTGACTTAGAAAGGGGGACTGCACTTGACCCGCCCTTAGAGAGAAGCCCCCCAGCCCGCCTGCCCAGCTGCACCCCAGGTCTTGGCCGAGAGAGGGAGGCACTTCCGGTCCTGGTTAGAAGGCGTTAGTGGCTACAGTCACATCACTCGTGACACTGAAATGGCTCATGGGCCTGGCGCTGTGACAGTGCGAGGCACTCACCCAGCCATAGCACATGGAAGGAATTATTCACCCGCAATTACAGAAAACACGGTGGAATCACACAGACGGGAATGAGCAATTCCAAGCGTGGAAGAGGTGACCTGGCAGGGGGCCACACCCGGTGCTGAGAGTATAAAGCAGCCCAGTCCAGACCATGGCCTTGAACTCAGACTCCGCTCGCTGTCACACCACTGAACTCAGCCTCCGCCAGCATGTCCCCCAGCTGCTGCTCTGGAAACTTCTCCTCCCGCTCCCTGGGCGGCTCCCTGCGCTGCCAGGACTCCTCCTGCGGCTCCTCCCATCCCAGCAACCTGGTCCCCAGCAGGGGCCTCTGCTCCTCCAGCCCCTGCCCTCAGGGCCCCTCTCTCCACAGTGGCTACCAGGTCATCTGCCGGGCACCCAGCAGCTGCCGGCCGTCCTGCTGCAGCCCGAGGGTCTCCCTGCTGGGCAGCCCCTGCCAGGCCCCTGTCCCTGGGGCTCTGGGCTGGGGGTCCAGCAGCAGCTGCTCCCTGGGCTGTGGGGCTGGTGGCCTCAGACCCCTGGGTCACGGAGTCTGTGGGGTCCCCGTGCTGAGCCCTGGATCCGGATCCTGCCGCCCGACCTGTGGGCCCCCCAGGAGCTGCCAGAGCTGGTGTCGCCGACCGTCCTACAGGTCATCTCTTTGTTAGAGCAACTCACCGAGCTTCCCGAGCTTCTGAGCACAAAGTTCCGGTCTCTGTTCAGAGCTGCTCCCGAGGGCTTTTCCCCGGAGCGGGGGGCACATGGCCACTCCCCTCACCAGCTCTCCCCCTCGCTGGCAACAACCATGGCTGACAGACGGGTCTTTCCAACAGTGAAATCAATGAGTGGTCAAAATACTGAGTCCAGTGCCTAGTGATTTTGAAACAAAAATCACTGTGATGTTTCTTTCACCTAATAAACTTACTCCTGCATCTGCTATGTTCTCATCAGTTTTTATTGGTTTTCAAAGTTGGTGGCACGTCTCTGGGCCCCAGACCTTAAGAGCATCTCATTTCCGTGGGAAACGGCAGGGGCCTGGCCTCGGGGACCCCCCGGTCACCCCGCTGCCCGACCCGTAACGTGTGCGCATGGTCTCCACAGCCAGGCCATGAGGATTCGACTCCTGAGAGTCGGCCCACTGTGGGGTCTGCAGGCTGCCCGTGTTTGCCGTGAGGACGCCTTCCAAGGACAGTTGTCTTCGGTTTTGATCATGTATTTTCAAGTCAACATGGAGTTAGAGCGCATCTCAAATACGCCATCTGAGTGATGAAGTGTGTATGAAATGTTACGTAAAATATTTGAATGAATCTAACATAACGGCATGAAAATAGAGAAAGTGTGAAATGCCAGGGGTTGGAAGGCATTATGGTTCTCTCCGGATGTTCGGGCAGTGGGTTTTTCTGTGTGAGTGCGTGTGTGTGCGTGTGTGCATGTGTGTGCGAGAGAGAAAGAGAGAGAGAGAGAAGGAGGGAGACAGAGCCAGAGGTAACGTTGTAAAGATGAAAACCATGAGGGGGTTACAGGGAGGAAGATGTGGTTTGTTGTGAGAAAATATATCCCTGGGAATTATAAACTTATAGAACTCTTACGACCTGGGTCATTTTCACTGACCTTCCCCAAGCCCAGGAAGCTGGAGGCCTGGCCCCCTGGTGGGGACTTTCGTGCCGAACCGGAGGCAGAATTGGGTGAGTCTCAGGTTCTAAATCTCATCACCTGCCGGGTGAGTGTCTTTGGGCCCAGCCCCGCAGTGACAGTCTAACAAAAGCGGGTCCTTGTGAGATGATGTTCGGATCCAAGACAGGACTCAGTCTGTGCTTATTTTTTACTTCTGTCAGTTATCTGTCTCCGAGGCTAAACGCAGGGTTAGCATTCAGTTAAAACTCCCCGGCACCCGGTTTACTGATAACTCTCTATGGGCAGGAGAGTAGCCATCATGTCCGGAGCACACGCTCGCTCCAGACGTGGGCTCCGAGTGCTGACCGCTCTGTCCGCCCTGACTCCTTCCTCAGCCTTCCTCTGCTGGGATCTGAGAAAGGTGGGCCTCTTCCCTCGTGTCCTCGCGGCGACCAAGGCCTCAGGGTGGGGGTGGGGCCCGGGCTCTGTGCCACAAACCAACCCACACACGGGAACAGGAAGGAAGGCGAGAGACCGGGAGGACCAGGTACCCGGTTCTCACCACCCTGCGAACCAGGTTCTCTAGTCCTCCGTGCATTTTGCTTTTAGAGGCCAATAAAATGTTCTTTTGGTTTAAACTAATTAAAATAATTAAAATGAAATAAGGTTTCTGTCACTCACATCCGAAGAGTGATAATTATTAAAACTGTGTCATTGAGTGTGGAGTGACTCATTGGTAAGCAGTTACCATGTTTACCCGCAAGACGGACGGAGTCTGGGACCCCGAGTCGCCCCATGAGCGTGGAGGGGGATGGGATTCCCCGTGAACCCGCAGGAACTCGGAGCTTCTCCCCACCAGCAGGGGGTCAGCCTCCCAGGAGAGACTCGTGTATGGAGAGCGTTTAAATCTGACAACAGCCCCGAGGTGGAAGGAAGGGGCCTCTGGGGACAGAGAGGCCTGGTTCTGGAGCCACCCGGGAATTTCTCCGTCCGATGCCACCTGGGAGGGGAGGGGCCGAACGGCGCCCCACAGAGGCCGGGCCGGGAGAGGAAGTGCCCAGACGTGCTCACAGTTCGGTGCCCAGACTTCCCGAAGGATCACATGCAGATTCGGGTTTCCGGAACCAGACTAGACGAGTAAGTGCCTTTTGCATCCTTTTTTCCTTATAAAGTTTTCTTAGCGTCTCATCGCCGCTAATTTCCAGCTATTTCTCCATTCATCTTGACTGGCTTCTGTTTTCTCTCTCCGTCTTCCTGACCTTTCACCTCTTCTCCCCCCCACCCCACCCCCAGCCCCTGCCTCACCTCACTACCCTGCCCTGTAACACTTTTGGAAAGGAGAGAACAAACCCCACTCTTCTGTAAGAGCTCACACTATGTCAATAACGTGATGTTATAAAATGTCATAAAATGTCATAAAATGACAAAGCAGAGGTTTCATGGCTCTGGTTCACTTCATACCTTACACTCTCTCACAATGAAAGTCAGGGGTCGATGGAGCCATTCTCCTCGTGCCCCAGACGCCTGCCTTCCCAGCACGTTTCCCCGGACGCGTGGGGGCGGGTCGCGCCCTCTCCCTGGTGCTCCGGGGTCTGGGTGCTTCTACCAGGCGGGGGAGCGAGCGGCGGGCCTCGCGATGCCCCGCATCCACAAAACAACAGTTAGTTTCTAAAATACGGAGAGAAAGATCTGCTGCCTTTCCAAGTTTACTTATAACCTTTTAACATTTTTCCTTGTATTGCTAATGTCGGGTCAGAGTAAAGAGGCAAAAATCAGGCAAAGCCTCCTCAGAGAGCCCGTCCCCACTGAGACCCTGCCTTGGAGAAACTTCTAGAGAGCACAGCTGCAGGCACGTTAGGAGAACGTGACAATGGAACCAAGACGTGTGCGGTGTCCCCCGCAGGGCCTGCTCTCGGGGTCACAGGGCCACCCCCCTCCCACGATTCTGTGGGGAATGCCAGAGGGGAAGGGGGTCCTGGCAGTCTGGAACCTCAGGACGAGCACGCACCTAAAGGCGCCACCCTTGCTGTTGGCCTCCGAGGGCTGCCAGGACCAGAGAGAGAGGAGGCCCGTTGGTAGCCTGAGAGGGGCTGAGCTGGTGAGGGGCAGGGCGGGGATCTGACATGTCCCATGCGGGCGCCAGGCTCAGGAATGGCGGCCTCTCGGGAAGTCTTCACTTGGATATCAGCAGTAGCTCCTTGTTCCTGAGATGGAACTCTACCCAAGCCGGCTCCTTCTGGGGGGCGTACGGAGTGGGCCGGGCAAGCCTGTGAGAGGCAGGGCAGAGGGGCCTGTGGAGCCGCCGGTGACCCCACCCGCACCCAGGCTCCTGGCTGTCCTCCAGGTGGCGGATCGCACAATCCCCACGATGCCACCTCGAGGTGCCCCAGCAGGAGGAGCTTCTGCACCTCTCTGCTTCAAATCTCAGAAAACTCAGTCCTTTTCTTGTAACTCGTGCGTCAGCCGGTCTGCTGGGGGAATGGACCCGTTTAAACGAAGCACGCGACTTCTGAATTAACACCAGGCGTATTCGGTCCCCCAGCCCTGGTGCTCACTGGTCATTTGTCTGGTGCACATTGCAGACTCTCCCCAAATCCAATCTCTTTTCGTGGAAAAGAGAGATAACAGTGCTGTTTATACTGCAGAATTACAATGGGGAGCAAGCGACAAGATGTACTCAGCAATGAGAAGAGTCCCTTGAACACCGAGAGCTCGCTGTAAATGTGAACTGTCATGAGACTGTAAGTACAGGCAGCTTATGTCCAAACACCGAACACCCCCGGTCCTGGTCGTGTGGCCGTGCACGTCAGAGTCTCTCATGTGGCCCGGAGCCACGCAGTCCTGCTCCCGATTGCTAGACACTTTAAATACCCACGAAAGGACCCAGTGGTGCATGCCGTCCCCTCCCAAACAGCATGGATATGTAAATAAGCATGTTTTCATCCTCTTCCTTTATAATTTTTATCCTAGGTGTAACCTAATTCAGCCTTTCCCTATAATGCTTTTTTCTGTCTGTCTGTCTGCCTACCATCCATCCATCCATCTCTGCAAACACCACCTGAGTGCGGTGCACCGTCCAGCCGTGCCGTCCCTCTCCTTCCCCCGGCCTCCCGGCCCCCAGCCGAGTCTGTCTGCCCTTCCGGCCACCACAGTCCTGCATGTGGGCGAACAGGCTCTTCGGGCAGAATGTCACCTCACGCAGCGGCAGGGGACTATCGGTGACATTGCTTTGGCACTTTGTGTTTGTTCAGCAATTCTCAATGCTCTTGAAGAAAATAATTTCGTATTTATTTTATGGCTTATCAGCACAGCCCCTAAGGGGCCATTACAATTTCACACACTATAAATTTGATAGTAGATTACTTTTTTAATGTATTTGGGCTGAAATCTCCGTCTTCTTGGCTCATGTAATTGAGGTCCACTTGCATGAGGCACGGCACACGTACCGGCTGGTAAAGGAAGCCAAGCTGAGTTATTCTTCCGTAAAACTCCTTTGGCTCCTACAGAGCTTGGGGACCACGGGGGGATGTCTTTCTCGGATGCACCATTGACGCCACACATATTCGTTGCTCCTGGACACCAGTGATGCTTTGTTACACAGCAAGCCACGAGGGGAACGGCTGCAGAGAGAGCGGCGGTAAAATGTCACACCTCAGGGAGGGCGGGGGACAGCTGGACCTCGGCTTCTTGCAAAGGACCCATGAGCCGCCCATTAAACAGGCCACGACGTGACCGCCGCGCGGGCCCAGCACCGACTGCAGGCTGAGCTCTGAAACACGGGAAGCGAATCAACACCAGCGCTCATCTGCGTGCGTGACGCGAGACAGCGCAGTGCGGGGAAGCTCCCGGGCAAATCGCAGTGGACAGGATGTCACGGGTGGGGTCGCAAACGTCTCACCTGCTCGCCGGGGGGAGAGGAGGGCGCTCGGCCAGCAGGGACGGTCACACACTCTGCTGCGGACAACAGACGGATGCCACGGCTGCCCCGGGAAACTTCCGCCTGCTCCGCGGAGGTTTCGGGTCCGCCTCCTCACGCTGCGCTCCTTCCTCGCCT